TTTTTATACCCCTATGCTTTTTAATTTACTTATTTTAATTAGCTTCTTCGTTTTGAAAATTACTTACTATTTGAGGATTGCAATTTGTTAGCATCTCATTTTTTTAAGAAAAATTATGCCTAGTTTAAAAATGCTTTATTTTATGTGCATTGAGTTATTGGGGCTATAAAAATGTGTTTAACTTTGTTAAAATTATTGCATATCTTAAAAATGCTTAATTTTATGCATGTGAAGTTTTTTAGTTCTATTTTAAACAGTATGAAATGTAATAGGGACCCAAAACATTTCGTTGCCCGGGGGCCCTGCTTGCCATTAAGACGGCCCTGGTTATGGGCATTGAAGCTTGTTGCTTCACATTCTTCCTTTAATGTTGTAGCAAAAATATTTTCACAGATGTTTATGAATAGTGATATTGCCCTTGAAAAAGATTTCTTGCAAACGAAAAGTGGTATTGCGAATTAAACAGTTACAGAAGAAAAAAATGAAATGAATTACTGAAAAAACTGTAAGAAGTTGTTTAAATTGATTCTCAAATATATGAATTAAAGAAAAATTGTTAGTTTTGTTTTGAAACTAAATTTTCAAATTAAATTTTTATTATGATAGCAAGATTTTATTTTATTTCACCAGAGTTTTTAATTTTTTTAGTAGTCTAGAGGTAATTTGTAATTTTTTTCATTCTCTTAACTTGTGTTGTGTATTTTCAGGCCTTGCTATATTCTAGGTATAATAATAGTATATTCTTTTTGGTATGTAAATACGAACAATAAATATTTTGTTACCATAATATTTTTATTTCAAATAGTGTTGAATTGGGAATTGTTACTGCCCCTTATTCTTTCCAGTGATTAGAACAAAGAGAGTATTTTTATTTTAAGAACAACACAAGAACACTATAGTTGCATGTTTTTCCTAATATGCTGGGAAAACATGGGGAGATTTTTTTGCAGTTTTGAGTGGCAATATTGAAAGCAGCAATAAAAAGAAATCGAGCATTTGTGTCTTTTTAAGTTTTGGAACTACTTTTGGAGTCCTATTGTTGTATTTGAGTCCTATCTATATCTTTTAATAAAGCTTTGAATGATTATTATCATGGATACATTTAAATCTAAGAATGAGCTTTATTCTTATTAAAATATGTGATTTAGTTGTCGTGTAAAAAATTAGCTTATATAAAATTAAAATTTTAATTTTTTCACAAACAAATTTATTTATATATATATAATAAATATTTTCTATCTTTAAAAGAAAAAAAATAAGATGAAATAATTTTCCACAGATTTAACTTTCTATACAAATGAATATTTCTTACTAAATGGATAAATTAAATATTTGCAGTATTTGTATCACTCATTTACTAGATATTGTTTAAAAATTTCCTTATAAAGTTGTGTGTTTATGTGTTAAAATTTAGTTTTTGTTTATCATGCATTTTTCTTTTCAGCCTTCCTGTATGCTCAAGTAAAAAACTTCTGAAAGAAATCAAAAAAAGTTTTGATGAAAACTTTGATGGTCATATTAGTAGAGAGGAAAGAATTCAACTTCTTACGAGTCTTATAATGCAGCCAGGATATGTTGTGATGAAGGTTTGTTTTGAAACTCTAAAAAAGTATTTAAAACATTGAAATTATAATTAACAGGTTTATGATTGCTTAAAAAGGTAGACCACCTTTTTTCATGTTTAATAAGCTGTGTTAAGATTTTCTCCTTATCTCTCATTATATTTATCTTTAAATGAGTTCTGCAATATTTAACGACTTCTCGTGAAAAACTGCTTTGTTAAGTTTTCTTGTACCATATTTTTCGGCGGAAGAGCCGCTGCGCTATCGAAAAAAAGTTGTTTTTTCCCTACATGCGGCGCTTCCGATGTTCCGACGAAATATTTTTTCTAGCAAAAAAATTTGTCAAGAAAAGTTATTTAAGAAATAATTTTCTGAGAGAAAGACTATTAAAAAAAATTAATAACGAAGTCGACGAAATATTCGCCCGTATCGCGATCTGCTGCAGAAGATCGCCAATTCTTAGCAAACTTTCGGCAGCAGCCTGTAAGAAAATAAATAAACGAAATAATAATTTTAAAAAAACATCGCTTAAGGAGAAAATTTAAAAGGTATGATTCTTGCATCCACCCCCAGCTTAAGGAAAAATCGCAAGCTAGAAATCTATTTAGCGCCTTAGCAATTGTAATTTAAGCGAACAGAAAAGGAAGAATAGGACCCTAAATCCGACACTCACGGGACTGACGAAATGCCGAACTTCGGATCTCTTTCGGAAATTCCAATATGGCCCCCAAATATTACTATAATTCAATTCCACTGTTAATTTCAGAAAAACCAATAAATTTAGTCAAGTTTCGATCATAGATTATGATGGGGTGAATTTAAAACTGGCCCATTATAAGAGAAATTTTACTAATCAAAATAATAATCTATATAATATAATCAAGAAGAAATAATCAGAATCCTATGAGGAAGAAATAATAATTTCTTCTTTGGAGCGAGATCATAGTTTCGTTTTTTCTTTTAGATAACATTTTGTTTTAACAAAAGACGCTTACCTCGCAAGAAAAAAAAAAAAGCTAACAGGGAACTACAAAAATTTTTTCTTTAAACTAAATGCTAAGAAACTAACAATGAATAACAACAAAAAACAAGCTAAAAACTAATAACGATTAAAAAAAAGCAAGCAAGCAACAATTAACAAGAAAAAAGTAAAAAGTGGCAAAATAAAAAAAATTAATGAATCGAAAAAAAAATCGCAAAAAGGGATAAATTCATTTTATTGTCCATGTGGTAGTTTCAATGTCAACTGGGTGTGGCCAATTTATGGTCAAACAGAGGAGGGAAATTCGGGGGCAGTAAAGCACAGCTGTCAAGATTGATTGATCAGTTTTTTCCAACTTCCATTTCTTTATTTTGTTCATTGGAAATGCAGGTGTTTTTACTTCTCACTTTATTTTAAACTGCTTTAGAAACAGATGTTTCCTTTGATACAGATTTATTATTATTTTTTTCTTCAGGCTTCGTTTTTATTTTTAAAAGATAAAATAAAGTAAGTTACTTCAACAGAATAAAATTCAAAATAAAAAGAATATAGCTGATTTTTTTTGTCTTAACAATATAAATTTCTTAAAAGAAAAAACGAAAAAGATTAGAAGTCAAGGTCACCTTGATTGGAATGTACACTCACTGATAAGAATGTGAGAAAAATTTAGGGTGTGGTGGGAGAGTTNCATTTTCTTCTCTCTTTCTAAGTTGAGTCACATTGGGTTATTTCCATTGAAGGAGAGGGCATTCTACCCACTAAAATTCCACCCTCAAAGATTGTGAAAGTGAAACTTATTTCCCCTTCGCTCATTCCTTCAGAATTTTTTTGGGGCCTGCTTAGTTATTTCTTATTCTTGTTATTAGTTATTTCGTTATTATTAGCTGTTTCGTTATTATGTATTAGTTTTTCCTCACATTCTTAACGGTAATACATTTTAAAATCTTTCTTTTAATAAATTTTTATTTTATTTTTTCTTATTACATTGTTTTACGGATTTCTGAAATCAGTTCAGCCTTAATTCAGCTACTGAACATATAAATATTTTTTTGCTGTTCTTCTGTTTTTTGGTAGGAACTTTATTTTATATAGTTTTGTTGTTTTCTTTTCTTTTTTTTTTGCTGAAAGAGAAAACTTTTTTTGTTGCTTTTTTTGCTGAAAAAGAAATTTTTTATTATAATTTAGAAATTAAAACTTTACTTTATGAAATGCATAAAAAAATTAAATTTTTTATTATACAGATACTCTAAATGGTAATTTAAAGGTCTCTTCTAAAAGGATGCTGATATGCGCGGCTTAGCACCATTGCGGCGCTTGCTATAACTTTTTTTTTAAAAATTTCATTTTTATCGAGGTGCGGCGCTTGCAACGAAGCGGCGCTTTCGCCGAAAAATACAGTACCTTTTTTTTTTTAAATTTAAATCATTAAATTGAAATAAATAAAATAAATTGAAATTTAGATAATTTGCCATGTTTATGTCATACATGTCCTTACATAATACATACAAAGGTTATTTAATACATGCCATACATATAAAGAATTATTGTAGTTTATTAAGTTCAAAAATATATTTGCAATTTTATTAATTGATAATGCAAATAATAATTCATAAATTTTAAAGCAAGAAAAATGTGAGAACTTTCTGTTACTAAACTTGAAGCTATTGTAGAAAATTGAAGTTAGTAATTAATGAAGGAAAGACCAAATTTATAGTCATAATTGACCCAGATATAAAAATTTTACCTTTTATGGCTGAGGAACAAACTTTTGATGTCAGCCAGTTTAAATATCAAGGTATTATCATAACTAACAATAATGTTATCAAAACAAAAATCAACAATAAGATGTTGATAGGAAACAGGTGTTATTATGGTTTGAGAAATCAACTAAAATCAAAGCTAGTTTCCATTTGAAATCTTTATTTAATAAACCTTAATTTTTTCATTTAAATCACCTCAATTTTTCCATTCATGAAAAATAAGTTAAAGGGAAAGAAATATTCTAAGGATATTTTATTGTATGCTCCTAACAATATTCATTTGAACCTAAAAATATGTGCAGATTGTGAAAATTTATTGGAATAATTAGAAAGTCTTGTTTTTCAATTGTTTTAGTGAAATGTTTCACTATTTCTTAAAGATTGGGTGGATTTGTCAAGTTTTGATACTCGACGACTTCGTTAAAATATTTTGTTTAAAGAAATGTATTTGCAAATTTTTAATTTTTCTGTTTTTGTGCAGTTACAAGCTAAAACAAAAATGACTATGCCAATTCCAAATTTGCTTGGTGCTTGTGGACGTTCAGTTGTGCTGGAAGGAGGACTGAAGCCCCTAAAATCTTTCCTTTCGGAGTCATTTGATACAAGGGCTGGTTTAGCTATTCAGGTTTTGCAGCTTGTACAGGATTTTGAGGTGATTTTTTGTGTTAAGTGATTTTGTAGTTTTATTCTCAGTTAGTTTTTGAAAGCATAATAATAATTTAAGTATTAGTTGTAATTAAGCTAATAGATTATTCTGTCAACTATTGTACCTGTGATTGTGTCCTGTCATACATTTGAAAATATATAAACACACTCTTTGAAATGACAAGGCTTAAATATAATTAAGTGTTATTGCAACAAATTTATATGTTATCTATATTTTCTAAATGATTTCATTATAAATTATAATAATTATTTTATAAATTATAATTAGCTTATAATTTTATGATTATGTATGTAAGAATAAAATATGTATTAAAAATAACTGTTAAGAAATATCTTTATATTATTTAAGATTTTTTTAAGTGTTCATACAAGGCACATCTAGAAAGTAAGTTTCCCTAATTTATAAAAAAAAAAAGAACTCACACTTTCAGGAATATATTTATTGGCAACACGTACAGCAATGTTTCAGCTATTTTCCAACATAGCCACCACCAGAATTGAGACACTTGTCGTATCGTGGGATAAACTTTTGTATCCCTCTGTCATAGACTTAGACTTAGAGGTTGGGCAGCTCAGACGAGCAGGGCACATCGACCAGAGGTCTATTGTACCCAAACCCTAGTCGTGATTAGCAAGAAAGCCCTATAGCTGAAATAAAGTTCAGCAAGCACCTTACAGGAACATCTTGCAGTTCCCAGGCATTGACGCAATGCTGCCCTAAATGCTCAAATCTTTGAGCAGAATAGACCTCACAATCACAGAGTATGTGTCGTGATGTCTCTTCTTCTAGATGACATCCCCGACAAAGAGAATTTGATTCAATTCCCATAATGTTTAGGTGTCTTCTGAGGATACAGTGACCAGTAAGAAGACCAATGATCTTCCTTATACTGTTTCTGTTAAGCTTTAAGAGCTCCTTTTGACGTACACTAGGACAGTCTCGATTCAGCTCCTTAGCTTGTCTTTGACCGTCAGCAGCGCGCCACTGCTCATGGGCGATCTTGCCGTAGAGCTTGAATATGGTTGCCCTAAATGAGGAGGGAGAAATTCCCAGCGCAGGTTCAGGGCCCCAGAAAATTGCATTAGAGCCAGCCCGTGCTGCTTCGTCAGCTAGCTCATTTCCACCGATACCCATATGTCCTGGTACCCAATGCAGGGATACCTTGTTATGAGTGGACAGGTCACAGAGGACCGAGAAGCATTCCCACACTAACAAAGAGGTGAATTTACACCTTGACAGTGATAGGAGAGCAGCCTGACTGTCAGAACAGATGCGGATAGTCGTATTTTGATATCCTTTGTCTATGCATAACTTGCAGCACAAGATAATGGCATAGACCTCAGCCTGAAAAACGGTGGCATAATTTCCCAGGGGAAAGTGAAGTTTGGTACCATCATTGGAGCAGTAAATTCCTGCTCCTGATTTGGCACCAATCTTTGACCCATCAGTGTACCATATCAGGCATTTGCCTTTAAGCCACCGAGGAGAATTGAACCATTCATCTCTAGTAGGAAAATGGATCTTGAAGGGCTTGTGAAAAGCATATCTTAGTGACATAAAATCACTAGGCATAATAAAAGAGGATAAATCCTTCACTTGTGAAACAAGATGTCCCCATGACAAGTGTTTGGAATTCTCTTTCCATAGGCCAAGGTACATAAGACGCTTTACGCCTGTCTGAGCTTCAACTTCAATGCGTAAGTTCAATGGAAGAAGCCCAAGTAAGCTCTCTAGAGCAGCTGTAGGAGTGGTCCTGAGACAGCCTGACAGGGCTACACAGACCATTCTTTGTAGTCTGTTAAGATTAGACCTTGCGGAGCTCAATCTAGTCCTTGACCACCAGACGATTGCGCCATAAGTGATGATAGGACTAATAATCATTGAGTATATCCAGTAGACTATTTTGGGGGACAATCCCCATGTTCTACCAATAGCATTTCTACAAGACCAGAAAATTTTTCTGGCCCTGTTGGTGCAGTATTCAAGTTGAAGACCCCAATTTAGTTTGGAGTCAAAATAAACCCCGAGAAACTTGACTTTCTCTGTGAGTTCCAATTTATGGTCCAGGTAGTATACATTACCTAGATCAAGTTGCCTTTTCCGTGTAAAGGCTACATAACTTATCTTGGATGGATTGACAGATAAGCCTGATTTAAAACACCACCTAGCTACTTCTAGGAGTGCATTATTCATGATATCAGAGACAGTTTTTCCATGTTTGCCTCTGACAACAATAACACCGTCATCAGCGTACCCGATACAGGGAATGCCAAGAGCAGTTAACCGAACTAACAGGGAGTCCATTACCATACACCATAGGATAGGGGACAAAACCCCTCCCTGGGGGCATCCGGCAGTTGCATGCACTTTCATGCTTGCATCCAATAGAGAGGAACAAACATACCTAGAGGAAAGCAAATTCGCTATCCATCTGGTAATTATTGAGTTTATGCCTCTGTTCCTAAGTGCATTGATGATAGTCTCAACAGGGACTTTATCAAACGCACCTTCAATATCAATGAAAACCGCGAGAGCCATCTCCTTATCTGTGATAGATTTCTCAAGCAGGTAGGAGAGCTCATACAGAGCGGTGTCTGTAGACTTGCCTGGTTGATAGGCATGCTGTGTGTAGGACAGTGGCCTTTCTATGAGCACAGTGTCTCTGAAGTGTCTGTCGATTAGCTTTTCAATCGCTTTCAACAGACAGGAAGTGAGGCTGATTGGTCTGAATGATTTAATCTCAAAGTAATTCTCCTTACCTGCTTTTGGTATGAAAATCACCCTGGTATTCCTCCAGGAGAGAGGTATATACCCAAATGCTATACAGGATCGAAAAATCCTACATAGAATAGGGGCCAGTGTATTCACCCCTTGGATAAGCATCATTGGTATGATGTCGTCCATGCCTGGTGACTTGTAGGGCTTAAACGACTTTATGGCCCATACAACCTTCTCATAGGAGACCACCATTATGGCGGCTTCCCAGTCATTCCTACTACAAGTAGTTGTGGTAATATTGTGTAGGTTTTCATTCTCCACAGGATGAGATCCAGGGAAGTGTGCTTCAAGTAATTCTCCAAGAGCCTCTTCCCCTGATTCACTGTATCTTCCGTTTGTAAGACGGATGGCATTTAAACTGCAATGAAAGTTTTTAGTAAGAATTTTTGAAATCTTTGCGGTAGCAGAAGTTGTGTTTATGCCATTGCAGAAAGTCTGCCATGAGTGATGTTTAGATGCTCTGATCGCCTTGTTATAAGCAATTAGAGCGTTTCTGTAGGACTGCCATTCTCTAGATTGCTTTGCTCTGTTAAATAACTTCCTACATTTTTTACGTAATTTACTAAGCTCTGAAGACCACCAAGGAACTCGCCTTGGGGAGCTAGTAGACGTAACCTGACAAGAAATATGATACGAATCAAGTATGATCTGTTGCACTTGGTCAACAGTCCACTCCACATCATTAACATTATTGTACTTACCAGAGAAGCTCCCAAACTTCCGCTCCAGAGCTGCTCTAAAGGAACCCCAATCACCTGTTCTGGGGTTCCTCCTTACAACCTTCAGTCCTGTGAGGCCTTAATAGAAAAAGTAATTAGTTGGTGATCTGAAGCAGTAACTGCCCCAAATACCTTCCAATCAGTAACATAATCTACTGAACTAGAGTTACATAAAGTAAGGTCAATGACTTCCCTTCTGTTACAAGTAACAAAGGTAGGTTCATTGCCTTTATTATGGACATATAAATTAAAAAGTAAGATATGTTCCATAAGTACATCCCCCCGCTGGTTACAATTACTGCTACCCCACACTGTGTGGTGAGCATTTGCATCACAGCCGAAGATGAATCTACAGCTTGAACTACAGTGGGCAATTAGGGCCCTAGTTATGTCAGCTAATGGTTCCTTCTCCTCATATGGGAGATAGGCTGAAACTATGACAAAACTAGAGATTGTCTTATTGTCATAGAATTTTAGCTTTACAGCAACTAAATCCCTGTTAAGAAAGTTAACAAGATTAAGGGCATTTAGATTAGACCTAGCCACTATGCAGGTTCTGGGAAGGTCACAACAGGTATCATAAAAGATATTAAAACCTTTAACATTGAGACCCATTGTTCTACCCTTGCGGGTCCAAGGCTCTTGTATAAGAGCAATATCTAGTTCTCCATCATTCAACCTTTTGGCCATAAGGCTTGAAGCAGCAATGCTATGATGGAGATTAATTTGACAAACCTTGATTGTAGTCATTGGTTAGCAGTATGAGTGAAACCAGAATGGCTATCTATCCTGGTTATCTTTAGAAGAAAAATCTTCCTTTAACAGCCCCATTGCTTCATCTATACCAAGCATAGAAGCTGGTGAGTCAGGTTGTAATTTTGCATCTGACCCTGAGTCCAACCCAAGCTCTGAAAAATCAAGAGCCCCAATTGAACTTACCTTTGAATCAGGGGAATTGGCCGGCCAAGGTTCATTCTCCTGTTCCATGTCCTCTTGAACATCAGGTTCTACAGAGAGGTCCGATGTTGTTGGATCCTCAACTGCTTTTTTCCTGTTAGGATCGTGGATAATCTTAAAGACACCACGATCCACTCCAGTTAGTGCGCAAAAATTTGCCCTCACAATTGCCTCAGCGTCTTCAGGGTCTACCTCAAAGATCCATCTAGAGGTGCCCGGTCCTGCAGCACTTTGCAGAACCATCCACCCCATAGACTTCAACCCTGGGTTTAGTCTCTGAAGACGCCATAAAAAGGTGCTCTGATTGGAGAATTGCTCCTTTGTTTTGAAAGCAACCTTCACGGGCTTGGGTGGCTCGTTTGCACCTATGACCTTGAGCATGAGGTTACCCAAGGCTTTATTGTTGAAGTGGCCTTTGATCCACCCTACAGTAAATTCATTACATTGTAAAACCAGCGCTCCTCTTTGGAGGTGGTTGCTGTAAATCTCAGGCAGTCTTTCGCCACCAGGAATGGTGTCAGTCCACTCTAA